CAGATAGGGATACAGGTCATTTTGATCAATCTGCATAAATTGTCTTTGATCACCCATATAGGTAAAGGCTTCTCGGTCAACTACCTATAGAGAGAAGAGTGAGAAAAAAATTAGATCTTGTGTTGTGAAATTCTCAAGGTGCATAAGACGGAAGACTCAAACAACTACCAAATCTCATAAGGACTATTTTGGCCATAAAACTAATCGATATGGGATCTCAACATATATGCTAAACTTTTGCGGCATCAAAGATTATTTATTGAATGAATAACTGAAAATATCAATATGAATCATATAATAACTTTAATTCAATATTTAAAAATGGGAAATTATTAACTCTATGATGATAAAATAGCAGAATTTGGATCCTACCTCGAGAAGAAAATTTGCTCCTGCGACAAGACAATCCATTTCATCTTCCTTGTCAAGAGTTATCCCTAGTCTTTCCTTGAATAAGTCTGCATATTTGTATGGTCCACCACCTGTGGCCTTCACAACAATAGTTTTCATTATTTGTATGGTCCTAAATGCCTCAAGACTAAAAATGTATATTATATTTTGTCGAATGGAACATGTTCATTTAAAATGTCTCCAAGCTTCTGTAAGTATTTACTTTCTGACTATTAACTTAACACGCTTTCAATTTTAACTAAGATTCATGTTGTCAGTAGCATGCAATAGTGAAATATTATAGCGTATTGGTGGGTGGTAGGACTAAGCGTGGCACTTTTGGCCTGCGAGCTGCCTTCAGCAATGGGGGTTGTTGCAGCCACTAATTGTCACCCCAAATACCGCATCCTCTATTAGGGTTTTAGGGATAAATTCCTTTTTTTAAACCATTGTCTAATTTGTCTTTTTAAAGGGTGTAAGTTTCAATCTGAACCCTTTTAAGTGTAATGTTCTATTCTTCATTCTGTTATGTTGTTGCTCACAAACAATTATTTTGTTCTTCTCTGCTTACGTTTTATTGCAATAGCAGCTATCCCGCTATCTACAATACCACTAAAGCATTTCAGGGTGTCGGTGCTACACAACGCTATCTGAGATTAACAACCTAGATTCCAGGAAATTATATGTACTCCATCCAGGAGACAAACTCAATACGTACGGTATAGGAGTTGCTTTGAAGCATAGCAGAGGACTCAAGTTGGTCAATAATTTAGACAAAATCTGACATTTTTTCAAATCACCTATCTGCTCGAGCATAGAGGCAATAGGAACAAACAGTTCATAATATAAAGAGTTCAAGGCTTTTCAATTTTATTTACCTTGATAGATATTGGCTGATTTCCAGGATTTTCTTGCTGCTGAACACCTAATTTTATCACCAGTTACAATCAATTGAAGGGGATAGCAGAACAATAGAGTGCAATATCAAGAGTTTCAATGATGAAGAAACCGAATTACGTACACACCTCCAAGATGAAGTTTCATGGTTTTGATAAAATCTATACAATCATTTATCTTGCTTGTTTCGAACTTCTTGAAATTGAGCCTTCCTTTAAGAACAGGATGGTTCCTATTGCCTTTGGATTTCTCTGAAGCACTTCTAGAAGATATCTCTGCCTCACCGTCCACAAAATGATCATCGTCTTTTGTGAAGTATACTAGTTTACAAAGAGATCCTGTGAGCAGATAACAGCATTATTTTAACCAACCACCAAGAAAGTGAAACCCACATAATATTGTGCTCATTAAAAGCCAGACAGACTTAAGATCGAGAGTGTAACCCAAACAGCTTGATAACAGATGGTCTGAGATCTTAGATTGACTCTAATATCATATTAGAATTTAGATTGGACTTAACTCAAACCCACTAAATTGGCTTATTAAGTAAAGGATCTCTCTCATTTATAAACATTATCAAATATTTGCCACGGCGACACTATGGAAGATACACACAACAGTTTTGAGGCTCGTCGCAATGGTAAATATCGGCTGATATTGTAGGTTTTCCCGCCATAATCTACTATAACAGCACCGCAAAGCGGTCGGTATGGCGAGATTTTGGCTCTTCGCCATCGAGAATACTGATATCACGTGGGACTCTTAAAATTAGTAACGCTAAATACATAAAAAGCAATGACAAAATAACATGGGTCTATGACATATGCCATAAGCTGTTTTCAGCGTATTTCAATAAGCACTCTAGTACAGATTATGAAAAAAGCTCACAGATAATTGTTTATGCTACTAGTACTTAATTAAGTAGTTTGTTTATCTAAATAAGGTCTTAATAAGTTTTCAAATAAGTTGTTGACCCAAACACAACCTAATTCTGAAGCATAATTCATATCGAACAGTAAGATGAACTGAAAGTAAAAATCGCCAAAAATAGGGTTCAATTCGATCAATGACAGAAGCATACTAGAAGTGAAAATCGAATCGAATGAAAGAAAAAGTGAAACATACCTCCAATATCCAAAGCAAGATGATAAACATCAGTTGAAGAAGGGTTAGGATCGGAATTTTCTTGAATATGAAACTTTTTTGAATCCATTTTTCCTCTTCTTGTTGTGATAATTAACTATCTTTATCTTTATGATTGTGAGTGTGATATATTATGAAATCCGTAGAGAAAAAAACATGTGGGTTGGTTGGTAGTAGCTGTATGTATATGACTTCATGTATGTATGTATCTACATAATAATCTATAATAATATTAACATGATTCACAAATTTGTTATTCTCGTCTACTAATCTATAAGAAACTGAGAAAGGAATTTGACGATGGTTTCGTTTGAAGATTCGTTTTTTAGGAGAGAGGGGATACCTTTTAAGATTATTTTACTTTTTATGTATGATAATTTATTAAAATCTTTTTTCTTCTAATTTTTTAGTTTTTCTAATTTGATTTATTTTGAAAGGAGTAAATTGTATTACTAATCCAAAAACAATATAAGCAAGGTGATCTAAGGAGTTCCAACCAAACAAGTGAACAAGCACACAAGTAAAAGTAAAAAGACAAATTATGGCATCATCAACCAACCAACATGATATGTAAGTTTAGCTTTTATCTAAGTCGTATACACAACTATATCTATGACACGAGGACCTATGGTATTACTATTCACATTATTTTCAAAGTTGTATCTCATAAATAGTTTTTACAAAAGCACATTTTAAAATTTCAATTCTTCAGCTTTTTTCTTTGCAATTGTCAATGACCTAATTAAGCTTATGGAATAGGATTGATCTGCAACCAATTAAGAATATGGACCTAAATACTTTTTAAGACCAGACATAAGAAGATAAGATGTTGAAGTGTTTCTGCAAAAATAACAAATATCATTTTCTATCAACCCAAAATAATATAAGATTTTCTTAGTGGCTAGTCTATCTTGATAAGTCATCTAGAGGATAAACACAACTTTTGGTCTAGTGATGTTTTCATAGAGAGGTCTCTTAGAACACATATTGGTTCTTAATAATATCTTTATGTTTTGATAATAACTCTTATGAAATTTTGTATTAAAGAATTATATACTCTAGAAATTGTTTAAGATTGTTTGATGCAGATATTAAAGTGTATATCAATCTGGAAGCAAATTAGATCTGAACATGAAAAATATGCAAGGCTCTGAAGCGTCAGAAGCATCTGTTAGAAGATTCTGAACGCTGCCCACAGAAGATTCTGAGCGCTGTCTACAGAAGGATCTGAAGCAGAAGCCAGAAGCATCTGAAGCATTGAAGAATTCTGTATGAAGAGTTTCAAGCACATTTATTTCAAAAGACTCTGATAATACTAACGCTGTCTGTACTGAGGACCTGATCCCAAACTCTGCTCTGAACAATTACACGCTGAAAGCACACTTGCTGCAAAGACTCTGATTCAGCAAACTCTGATGAACATCAGAAGGCTCTGATCGGTCAAGACTCTTATACTTTGCTGAAACTTATTGAAGAAGAATTCAAAGTTATGTCCGTTGGAATGGGCAAACGACTCTTTCCTCATTTATGCTAGACACAAGAACACAGACAAAAAGGATTTTTCTGTGCATTCTACTTCTAGGAAAGGTCATGTGATGTGAAGACAAAAAGGCTCCTTCAACGTGAAAGACTTCTTGGACCTCTGTGCCTATAAAAGCAAGACTCCATCCATCTTCTTCAGTTAACGAAATTATTGAAAGAATTCATTACAAGCTCTCATACAAATCATTCTCTCTAGCTGAATTTATTTCATAGTTCTTAAATCTTAAGTGATAAATCACAGTTGTGATATAGCTTAATTAGAAGCAATTTAAACACTTGTATTATTCTTACATTTGATTGTAAAAGATCCTTAAGAAGATCCAGTTGAGATCAGTAGTTCTTAAGAAGACTAAGAACAGTTGATCTTAGTGCTTGCTATTGTAATCAGTTGATTTAATAGTGGATTAAGTCATTGTTGAGAAAGACAAATCACTCTTGATAGGGTGGACTGGAGTAGTTGAGTTCAACAAACCAGGATAAAAATCCTTGAGTTTTTATTACTATAAGTTTTTTTCGATATACTTATTCAACCCCCCTTTCTAAGTATTTTCCCACCTTCAGTTGGCATCAGAGCTCTGGTTCTGTGTGTGCTACCACTTCACAATGACAGAAAAGATCCAGTGAGAAAAACTTTGATATATATTTGGTTGTTATTATGGCTGAAACTTCAACATCTAACAGTAACAACAGATTTGAAGAAAGGGATAGAATCAGCACAAAATCCCCTATGTTTGATGGGGAGAAATTTGATTATTGGAAGGACAGGATTGAAAGTTTCTTCCTTGGTTATGATGCTGATTTGTGGGACTTGGTCATAGATGGGTATGTTCATCCCACTGATGGGAATGGCAAGAAAGTAGACAGAAAATCTATGACTGAAGCCCAAAAGAAGGAGTTTAGAAATCACCACAAGGCTAGAACAATCTTGTTAAATGCAATATCTCACACTGAGTATGAGAAGATCACAAATAGAGAAACTGCATTTGACATGTTTGATTCTTTGAAGATGACTCACGAAGGAAACCTTTAAGTTAAAGAGACCAAGGCTCTGGCGTTAATACAGAAGTATGAAGCGTTCAAGATGGAAGAATCTGAGTCTATAGAAACTATGTTCTCTAGATTCCAGATCCTCACAGCTGGTCTAAAAGTTCTGGATAAAGGCTACTCAACTGCTGATCATGTGAAGAAGATCATCAAAAGCTTGCCTATCAGATGGACACCTATGGTCACTGCTCTGAAGTTTGCCAAGGATCTGAACAAGGTCACTCTGGAGGAGCTAATCAGCTCACTAAGGAGCCATGAAATTGAACTTGAGGAAGATGAGCCTCAAAAGAAAGGTAAGTCAATTGCCTTAAAATATAACAAATCTGTGAAAGCTTTGCAGGTGTTAGAAGAAAGCTCTGAAGAATCTTCTTCTGAAGAAGAAGATGAATTGTCCTTGCTGTCCAGAAGAATCAACAGACTCTGGAAGCACAAGCAGAGGGAGTTCAAGAAGTCCTCTAGACCAAAAAAGATCTGGAAAGAAGGAAGTTGTTTGTTTTGAATGCAAACAACCTGGTCATTACAAAAATGAATGTCCAAAGCTTCAAAAGGAAAAACCCAGAAGAAAGCCTGAGCACAAGAAGAAGGTTCTAATGGCTACATGGGATGATTCAGATGACTCTTAATCTTCATCAGATTCTGAAGAAGAATGCGCCAACATGGCTCTGATGGCAGGCATTGAAGATCAGAATGAAGAATCATCTGGATCTGAGTCTGATTCTGAATCTGACTCAGAAGAGGTACTTTTTGATCTCACTAGGGAAGAGCTTATTAAAGTCTTATCAAAAGTCCTGAAAAATTATAATCAGATTAAGCTCAAATGCAAGAAGCTTAAGTGCAATCTTGGCTCTGAGAATAATCTGTTAAGATTAGAAATTGCTGAGCTAAAAGAAAATAATTTGAAAATGAAAGCCAATTTTGAAATAGCTCAACAAAACTCTGAATCTGAAAGTAAGTCTAAATGCAAAAATATTTTATAAGAATATGACTTTAGCTTTCAGAAGTTTCTTACTAAAAGCATAGACAGAAGCAAGATGACTTCAATGATCTATGGCGTTAGCAGAAACAACAGGAAAGGAATTGGATATGAATCCTCTTCTGGAAAGGATTTAAATCCAATGCCTATTGATAAACTTGTAATCAAGAAAACTCCCTTATACTCTCATTTCAAGTTTGGTCATCTGAATGACATTAAACACACACGTTCTGATCAGAACGTTTCTGTGTTTAAGCCAAAAGTAAGTTAGAACAAAACTGTTGTTAAAAGACAGAAGTTCAGACCAACTTTCAAGGCAACTAACCAAAAAGGACCCAAAAAGATCTGGGTACCTAAGGATAAGATTATCCCTGTTGCAGATGTTTTTAGCAGAAAAGTCAAGACGCCAGTCATGGTACCTGTACTCTGGCTGCTCACGTCACATGATGGGAGAAAGGTTTATGTTCCAAAGCCTGGAGCTTAAATCTGGAGGAGAAGTGAAGTTTGGAGGGAATCAGAAGGGCAAGATCATTGGCTCTGGTACTATTGGTAATGGTAACCTTCCTTCTATATCTAATGTTCTTCTTGTAGAAGGATTAAAGCATAATCTATTGTCCATAAGTCAATTAAGTGACAATGGTTATGATCTAATCTTTAATCAACAATGTTGTAAATCTGTTAGTCAGAAGGATGACTCAATCCTATTTAATGGAAAGAGGAAGAACAACATTTATAAAATCAATCTTTCAGAACTTAAGGTTCAAAATGTTAAATGCCTCTTGTCTGTTAATGATAAGCAATGGGTCTGGCACAGAAGATTGGGGCATATTAATATGAGACGTATATCTCAGATTAATAAACTCAATCTGGTCAGAGGACTTCCTAAGTTAAAGTTCAACTCAGATGCTCTTTGTGAAGCATGTCAAAAAGGAAAATTTTCAAAATCTTCTTTTAAATCTAAGAATGTTGTTTCAACCTCAAGACCATTAGAATTACTTCACATTGATCTGTTTGGACCAGTGAAAACTGCATCCATCAAAGGCAAGAAGTATGGATTAGTCATTGTTGATGACTACAGCAGATGGACATGGGTAAAGTTCTTAAAACACAAGAATGAGTCACATTCTGTGTTCTTTGACTTCTGCAAACAAGTCCAGAATGAAAAAGATTTCAAAATTATTAAAGTCAGAAGTGATCATGGTGGTGAATTTGAAAACAAATATTTTGAAAAATATTTTAATGAAAATGGCATTGCTCATGATTTTTCCTGTCCTAGAACTCCACAACAGAATGGAGTTGTAGAGAGGAAAAATAGAACTCTGCAAGAAATGGCCAGAACCATGATCAATGAGACTAGTATGGCAAAGCACTTTTGGGCAGAAGCAATTAACACAGCTTGTTACATTCAGAACATAGTGTCTGTAAGATCTCTTCTGGAAAAGACTCCCTATGAATTGTGGAGGAACATAAAGCCCAACATTTCATATTTTCATCCTTTTGGATGTATTTGC